CAGTGATGAATGGGGCAGGGAGCAGAAAGCAGAGCAGCAGATGGGGCAGGGAGCAGAAAGCAGAGCAGCAGCCCAGGGAGTGCAGGCGGGAAGCGGAGCAGCAGATCGGGCAGGGGGGCAGAAAGCAGAGCAGTGCATCAGGCGGGTGGGAACAGAGTTGCCGGGGGTGCAGGACTCACCTGCGGCCTGCCAAAAAGATGCCCCCCCGCTGCCCCGGAGTCGGGGCCCTGCAGGGAACCAACTGCAGGAGCCCCGTGTCCCTCCCGCATGGCATGGACGGTACTCCTTGTTTCTCCCAGCGCCGCCCCTGATTTCCAACTGCACCTGAAATCAGGCAGGAGGCAGGGGCTGCAGCACCTTAGAGACTGACTAGTCTGGGGAGGTCTGGGCTACTTGGTTGGACAACGCTTATGACAGCTCCTGTCTGGCTGAGCCTCCCCACCTGCCACTGGTGGTTAAAGCTTCTAATTATTTACTAACGAACGGCGCCAATGCCACTAACACTTACACACCAAGTGCACTGGCCACGTGACACAGCGGGTATTAAAGGGCTCCGGGCCAAGCAGCTCACGACCCTCCTCAGACTCCCGACATGATGGCAGTGATCATTTTGATCTCTGAAGACGTTGGCCAGACGGTTGGCGGGAGGCTCCCTGGGGACGGGGCTTGGGAAGAAACACTGGAAGGGAAGGGAGGAAGATGTCTGGGAGTGGGGAACTGTCCAAGCAGGTGAGACCGCGTGGAAAACAGCACGGAGCTTAAAGCAAGTGGTAAGAGCAGGGCCCAGGGCCGAGGGAGCTGAGCACACCCACAAGGGGGTGCATCAGCCAGGGGGTACGGAGCAAGGAGCAGAAAGCAGAGCAGCAGATCAGGAAGGGGATGGGAGTGGCACTTGGGGAAGAAAGTGATGGGGGTGGCAGGCACAGGACGGATGTTCAGGACGTGACCAACCTGCTCTTCTGGAGTGGGGGCCGAGGGGCAGCCTCGGGCTCCGGCAATAATTCAAGCACTAAAGGGAGGCACCCGTATTGCAGGGCGCAGATCCCCCCTGACCCACGGCGGTCTCTGGTCACGTTACAGGGGAAGTGTCCATGCTCATCCTTGTGGCTGTTCTGTGGGGAGGGACCAACCCGTTCCTGAAGACAGGGACGGAGGGGCTGGAGAATGTGAAGCGAGAGACCCGGCTGCTCCAGCTGTTTGCAGAAATGAGATTCCTGTTCCTCAATTACAAGGTACGATGCTCTCCCCTGGAGTGGGGGCTCCTGGGTAGGGAGCGCGTTGAACGGCTGTCACTTACTGTGAAGTTTTACTGTGCGTTTTCCTGGCTGCTTTGCTGTGGTCTGGGATCAACAGCACTGCTCGTTTGATTTTGACGTTTTGTGACATTTCATTTAGCTTGCGCAGGACACTACTTTCCCTCCAAGGATTTCCAAGCACTTGGCAGCTATTCGTTAACCAAGTTGCCTCCCACCTCTCCTAAGAAATTATGGTGATCCCCCGTTACTGACTAGAAAACAGAGGGGAACTTATCACATTAACAGGGATTCAGTGGCAGAGCCCTGTGACCTAAATGCTGGACCTGCTCCCTTTCAGAATAAAACTGGTTCTCACCCCTTTCATGGATCCCTGGTGTCCTTCCTTACATAATCCCGTCCTATGTTTACCCTCATTTCTTCTTCAGTGACTTGATATGTTGTGCTCTCCTTGCAGTATATGGTGCCACTTGCATTTAACCAGTGTGGATCTATACTCTACTATGTCACATTGGCATCTGCAGGTCAGTGATTGCTCTCCCCTTTCAGTGCAGAGTGGGAGGGTTGAGACTATGGGAGGAGAGTTTGCAAAAAGTGCAGGCTGGATTGATAATTGCATCCCTTATGAATTCTGTGCTCAAGGCAAGAGAAATCAGTTGGGCATATTGCAACAGCAGCAGTGAAGTCAGTTATAATGCTGAGCATGAGTTTTACAAAATTGTTAGTGTTTAAGCTGTGTGTTCGCCCCTAGTAAAGACTTACCTGGCTACCTGGCACATACACCAGTAATTATTACATTCCAGGTTAATGCATTAATATTACCCATTCCATTTCAGACCTCTCCCTGGCAGTTCCTCTGTGTAACTCTCTAGCTATGATCGTCACCCTAATAACTGGAAAGGTCCTTGGGGAAGACATCGGTGGTAAAAGTAAGTCATGCCTCTGTCCTTTTATATATGCACTCTGCACACATTTGACTCCATGCCCTGAATCTTTGTAGTGGCCTGGTTCAGCAGAGTCTTCTGGGTAAATCACAATCCAAGGAGCAGAGATTAGGGGTAGTTAAATAATTCACTGTGTCCTGGGTTGGGGATGGATTTAGTGAGCTCCTCTCCGTTAGCTGTGGGGCAATGGTTTGGCTAATCCTACTCCATCATGGATAGTATAGCACCACTCTGTGCCATCTTTAGTAACTGTTGTCAGACTGAGACTTGAAACCAGAAGCAGGACAACTCTGCTATGGGTCACTTGCTATTGTTACACTAAGAAGTACAGTGTGTTACCCCACAGTAGATAACGTGGTCCTGGGGGGTCTCTCAGGGGAGGAAGCTACTCAGTTGCAAACATGATCATCCTTTACGATGAACTGGATTCTTCACGTGTTGTTGGGAGGGAAGATGAGTTTCACTGCAGGAGTCCTGTCCTGCCAAGTTCAAGTCACAGGGAGTTGAGGGCTCCTAGTACCTCAGGTTTGGGCTTTCATGGGATAAGATATAAGGGATGCATAACAGAACTAGCAATTGCTCTGGTACAAGAAAGGGATGTTTCCTGCATACCTAAAACACCAATGAAGAGTCTTTATTCCCATCTGAGTCCATAGAGCAACATCAGTGCAGACCAGTTCCCTTCATAAAGATACTACAAGCTTGAGAACATTAGCTACTGCTTGGAACCTGCTAATAGCCATCAATAAGCCCATGCCAATAGCTGCATTTGTATTTAAACAGAGCTGTTGCTAGCACAGCAGTAATGCAGTCTCCCTGACTGGGAAAAAGGATTCTTGTCTGTCCTAAGGAGTATGATGCAGTTCAGCACAGCTTATTTGCTCTCCATAGCACAATTCTGCAAGGCAGCTCACAGACAAAATCCTGCACAGCAGTGGAGGGAGCCTCTCTTAGAATCTGCTTTCAACAATGATGAAGTCTGATCTGGTACTAGTTTAGTCTGATCCCATCCAGATTTTACACTGTGATCTCCAGAACATCTCGGACTCTGTGAGGACACGACCTGATGGACTTGTCTTGAAGCTTATCATAAAATCATAGAAAAGTAGGGCTGGGAGGGACCTCCAGGGCTCATCTAGTCGAACCACTGCCTGAGGCATGAGCATACCTATCCAAATCATCTCATACAAGCCGTAATCTAAACTACGTAAGATTACTATCAACCTTGCAACAACACAGACCTAACACCATAACCTGGCACAGGTAAAGCAGGTGTGCTATGGCAGGCAACGTCCTGCTTCTATGAAATGTTGTTAGTTTATGCTCAAGAGATACTGGGTAGAGGACCATGCCTCCAGCCAAGAGGGGGCATGGTCCTCTACCCATGCACACCCCGCCCCAGTCTGTACCTATCTGGCCACGGGGAAAAATTCCTTTCTGACCCCAATCTGGTGATTGGTCTGACCCTGAGCAGAGAGGCAAGACCCTTTAGGCCAGGAGCCTCCAGCTTTGGTCCCAACAGGAGTATTGGCACACCCCAGTCAATGTCCCCAAGCTTCATGAGTTCAGAGGAGTTAATTTCTCTTTTGCATGTCTTTTCCCTAGGGGCCATAGTAGGAATGCTGCTCACCGTCTTAGGGGTTGCCCTCTGTATAGCTGGTTCTGTGAATGAGAAGCAGTGATATATTGAAAGAGAGAGAAGAAAAGAACATGCAGAAGATGATGCTTGTATTTGGGAACAGGTACCCTACCCTCCCTGAACCAGTACTGAGCGGCACTATCCAGGTTTGGGCCCTTTTGGAGGCTGACTGTTGAGAAGTGAGCTTTTCTAGCTGGATTCTCTTTGTCTTCATTGTTCTGTGACACCAAGCCTAGAATACTTGGCTTTTGAGACCTCTGTAAACAGCCATGCCTTGCTTTTCTTCAGGCCTCCATCCTGGTATCCAGAACTCTGGCATTGTGGGAAGCTTGTGAAATAATCTGCATTTACTCCATTGCACTAACTGAGGCACTGGCATTTCAAAGCCCAGGCAGAGTGGGTGGCAATCACAAAGAGGTTATTGTGCAAGTCAGCACCTGAGTTTCACTGTTAACAAGTAGTCTCCTTACAAGATAGTGTGTTTTTTTTTAAAAAATCAAAATATTTCAACTCTTAATTAGGTGACTCACTGACTTAGGAACAGAGAAAATGCTCCATCCAGTTCACTTAGCAGAGGTAGCTGAAGCTCAGCCATGCACGCCTCCCTCCTAGTTAAATTGCAACCTTAGAGTATTTTTGGGGTCATCAAGACTGAAATAAACTCAGTGGTTCCTGCTTTAACTCCTCCTGGGTTCTCTCGGAACGTCTCTTTGCATCTCCCTCGCACTGGAAGCTCTCTAGGACAGGAACGGTTCTGAGATGGTCTTGTCCAGTGTTCAACACAATGTCAATTGCCAAGTCCTCTGAGCTTGTCAGAAGTGAGACTATCTATTAAAAATATCCTGTTTCATTAGAACCCTGACTGATTTCTGAGCTGCAGGGATGGTTGGGAGGCCTCCCCTGATGGGAGCATAGTGTGAAAGGATAATGAATCACATTATATTGAGTGACTTTCTCTGTCAGCTCAGAAAGTGGTACCAGCAGCATCCAAGTAGAACTGTTCTCCATGAGATGGCATTGCATAAAGGCAGTAACGAGCTATTTTTTCAGTGGCATTCTACCTCGGGCTGTCAGATCACAACACAGTAACAAAGTGGACGTACCTCAGGTACAGCAGTTCTTACAGCCGTCATAATTTCAGTTCTCTTCCTAAAGGTGCTTATCATCAGACACTCAGTCCCACCTTCCTCAGGTGTCCAAAACTCCTAGTTGTGACTATTTGCATTAAGGACTGAATACAATCCATTCCAGACCAAGGAGTGGATACGTCAGACTAGGAAAAGCTTTTCTGCCTTCATGTGTTATCAGGAAAGGAAATATATTGCTCAGGTGACTCTGGGGTTAATAAAATAGCTATTTATTTTTATATAAAGAGGTTTCCTTGATTTAGGTTGATGCTTTTTAAGAACAAGAAGAATGAGCCTTCTGGGACTAGATTTGTTATAATGCTCATCTAACGACAGTCAAATGCAGGGGTAGAAATGAACCAGGCCTGAGCAAAACAGAGCCACAAAATCATTTTTAAACACAGGATCTATAATATGGAGAACATTTCCTGGCAGACATTTCAGTAGAGAAGACTTAGAACTATTATTTACAGTAAAAATAAAAATTCCAGTTCAGATACAGACTAATTCCTTGACTACTGACGCTTATAACTGTAGGCCCAGCATTTCCACCTCCTCCCTCAAATCAAACATTTTAGAGAGAAGGGAGGGAGGGAGGGAGGCAAGTGTTTGTGTTCAAAGAACAAGGACCTGAACTCATTGTTCATGTTCCAAAGCCCTCATAGTCAAGGCACTTAGTTTCAGACATGGTACTTTAACCTGTCCCCAGATTGGGCAGTGGTGTGTGGTGTTACAGGAGTCTGGAATCCAAGTGGTTTGTTATCTACCACTAGCACAAAGAGAAGGCTAACTTCTCCCACTTGCATCACAGCCACTTCACGTGCTCTTCAGATCTCACTCGCAGAGAGAATGTGTCTTTCAGTTTGCTTCCGCCTCTGAGTTGCTGGAGTCGTTTCGTGTTGTCAAGGCCTTCTGTGATCTGCGAGTGGTCCCAGCCTTTTTGCATTTAAAAAGACAGAACACACAGGCAATTTGTAATGTAACTAATATACTGGTTTATACTGGTTACTGTTCTGTTCCAGCTCTCCTGTGGGTGTACTGCATGATCTTGTACTTCTCTGTACCTTAGTCAAATCATTCTTAAATGGGTCTTGATTCTTACCTAGCACACAAGAGGGCTAAGAGGATAAAATAACTGTACAGCACTTGGAGTCAGCAGATGAAAGGCCATTTAGAATGACATCAGCAGGCACAGGGGGCAGCTGAGTTGTTCTCTTTGCAGTGCGCTACTGCTCCAGTCTCCAGGATAAATACAGAGTAGAAGGCTTCACATTCACCCAAGAGTGCTCTATAGGCAGTTCTTTACTTAGACCCAGTCCCACTGAAGATCAAAGGTAAAACTCCCAGAGATGCCGAAGGAGCCACCAGGTCCCTACCTGGCTAGAATTACAGTGTAGCACAATGTGATTAAATCCTTATGGAAAATGATTAAGAAACAAGCTTTCAGATTCATTTCTTAGCCATAAATTCCTGCATTTTAACTGGGATTTTAAAGACAAAGCTTCCAGACCCTTAGTTAAATAATTTGTATTTGTAACCAATCTGTGCAATCAGTTCCACATATGTAGTCAGGTGGGCAAAGTTTGGAGGCTGCCATCAGCCCTGGGAACATCAGCACAAATTTACTGCCTCGCCTGCACAATGGGAACGGTTTGTACTTCCTTAACTGAGCTACATCCTGCAGAGACTTGGCCAAGGCAGTCACTGCTGTGTGCAAAGCCTCGCATGAAATGCTTGCTGCACAGACTGCATCACTTCAGAGATTAGGGCAGCTGGATAGTGCAGTGTGCATACGTGCAGGCCAGAAGCTCAGCCACCTGTGCTGAATACCAAGATCCAGCCACTTCTGCAAATCACTTGAATCTGATTTTACAGCAGAAGCTGGAGAAGACGGAGTAGGACAGCTGCCTGCAGTAGGTGCTATTACAGAGCTCTGTCACAAGAGGGCAGAGAGCAGGTAAGAGTCCCCACAGCAGACTGCTACCAGGGGATGGAAATGAACACAGAACACTGATATTAAACACACACCCCTAATACTAAACACACACACACGCCCCTGTTCTGAGTACCTTCATGTGAGGAGTTGGCCTGGTTTTGGGTATAACTTCCTCTTCCACAGTCTCTGCAGCACTCTGGAGAAGGAAGAAAATGAAGGTAGCATCAGGGAAACCTTATCTCCTTTCCTTTGGAGAATTTCTGACCTCTCACAGCGTACCAGAAAGACTGTCCTCCGATCTCACAAACGTCTCAGAACTACAAATGCAAATCAGCTGGTGAAATAAATGGAGCTGTTCTCTAGCTTCAGAAACTCCCCTGGGCAGTTGTGTAAACATGTCTCAAGGGAAACTGCAAAAATACCTCTACAGTCAAGGCTAGAGCTCAGCTTCAGGCAAGGTACCTAGGCCATCACTATACTGTTGATTCCTCTACTTAGTTCTCAGATTCCAACTCTGGCTTGTATTGCAGTGAGGAAAAACCTCTTTCTACTGATCATTTGGAAGGGCCTGTTTCCCTGGAAGGCAAATCTCCTGGGACATCAATTCCTCTGGTGCAAGAGACAAAGTCTAGGGACTGCACAGCAGCCACAGAGTCTAGGACACTTCATCACTTGGAAGAGAAGGAACCTAGCTTTTCCCCCGCGTTACGCCTCTTACTTGGTCCACAGGCAGCTCCACCATCGTGTGCTCATCCTCTGCCACTTCCTGAGCCCCTCGCATCTCCTTTCTTGGGTCTTTCACTTTATAAACACCTCCCTCTTCTGTGAGAAAGCAAAAGGAAACATTGAGAGTGGGTTTCACAAACCCTTGCTCTGGTTGAATGCTGCTCAAGTGAGAGGAGCAGCATTGTCCATATTTGTGTTGTGTTTAAGTTGATACCAGAGGACCGGACTGTGGCATGGAGGCCACAGGATTACCCAAAAGTATCCTGCATAGTGCCTTGTAGGGGTCAGGGACCATAAGGGAGCTGAGCAAAGTGAAAACAGGCTGGCATGGGTCAGGATCCCAGGATGCTGAGCAAGCAGCCTTGCTTGAGTCTGGGACACCAGGGGGCTGAAGAGCCTGAGAAGGGCAGGACAGGGCCCAGAAGCTGAGGACGGGGGCAGGGGACCTAGGCTGAGGGGGGGCACAACCAGAGAAAAGGAGCTGAAGCCAGAAAGGCTGAAGCCCCAAAGGTTAGTGGCCTGAGGGGGCCAAGTGTTGTGGTAGGGCCAGGGGGCCCCTCCAAAGTGACCAGTTACCACCTGCAAGGTATGGGCATGACTACAGGGAGAACGAAGGCTACGAATGCAGCCTCCAAGGCACTAACAGGGCCAAGAGGGCCACAGTGGAGTACCGTAGGGGGCAAAACAGACTGGCTGATTGAGAGCTTGGGGATCACTCTAGGACCTTGGGGCAGCCTCCCTAAACTTCATAGAAGACATCCAGGCGTGGCAGGAAAGGTTAAGGGAGGGTGCCCTGAGAAGCCCGAGTGGGGCAAGAGTTGCAAGGCCACCAGGGAGCATCGCAGCCACCCTTGGGGCCACATTGCTACACCTACCCTCCAATAGCACATGCCTTTTGAAACTACTTTAGTCCTTTTGATCCCTTGGGATTGTATTTTCCCAGCCTTTTCCCATGCTGACACCACCTCTCAACAACTCTCCAGTGTTTGCCAAGACATGACTTATCTCAAGCCCTAGTGTTTCTTTCCCACTTTTTCTCTTGCAGCCAGCTGTTAAACTGCACTGAATATGTTCAGGAGTAGTGGTTAATCGTCCCACAGCAGCTCAGCCTCTGTCATAGCTCCTTCCCGGGGCTACTGCCAAGAGCTCAGGCACATTAAATAAATAATAATTTAAGAAAGTTTAATTTGCTTCCCACATGTTATGCTTTTAAATGTTTGCATGTAATTCAGTAGCGTCATTTCAGATAAGCTGCAGAACTCTGTCTTCATTCAGGTCTCCAGAAGAGTCTCACTCGTGGAGTATTTGTTGCTGGGGATGAAGGAAGTTGAATGAAAATAGCATCAACAAGGTGTCATTGTCTCTCTTGAGCGCTTCTGGGTTGGATCTATTGCTCCCTAGCATCAAACTAGAGCCATTCCCTATCACTTTGAAGCACACGTGGGACTCCTTTACCTTGATCAAGCCAGTGTGGGGTGTTCCTGTGACTCTTCTTATTTTGCCCTGCACAGGTAGGTTTGGTGTGGAAGACTGACTCTTCCTCCCTATGTGGATATCTCCTGGCTGGCCTGCATACCATCAGGGAGGGAACGGGGGTCTCGTCCTTCTCTGCAGCTCCTGTGGACTGCACCCTGCGGCTGTCCGGCTGAAATCAATATTCACAGCAGACACCTTAATCCAACACAGTTGGCTCTTTTTAGACCTGAGGCAGCTCTCAGAAGACACCAGCTCATCACTTTAACTAATTTCTTGACTGCAGAAGAAAATAGTAGAGCAATTCTGCTGCAAGGAACTCGGAAAGCCGACAACAGGGCAGGGTGGTTTTGACATGCTGGAGCCCTACTGGAAGTCTCTGGGTTTATTGTACACAGCTGTTCACACACCTAATTCTGTAAATATTGTACAGCACCCTTAAAAGGATCTCATGGTACCCCAGGATGCCACAACTCCCCAGCTGAGAATCCCCAGCCTAATTATGAAAATTCCACAGCACAAGTGACAGAGACCCTGGACCATCTGCCCACACGCCTCGGCTGTGACTAGTCCAATGCCGTAACATCAGCCCTGAAAAGTACGTTTCAACAAAACCCTCTGGGTGACTCGAATAGCAAGGGTCAGGCTGTAGCTGTTACCTGTTGGGGAGGTTCAAGGAGGGCAGAGTCACTGGCTCCATCCTGGGAAGTGGCGTGGAATTTACTAAACTGGGGAGGAGAACAGAGAAAGTTACAATAAGGGGAATGAGATGGACACACACACCTGGATTTACTGGGGCAATTCCAGCCTTCATGGGAGTATTCAAATGAATCCCACTGCTGTGTCTGAGATCTCTGTATAGCAGCTTCCCCATCCCAAGAGCTCTCCTGCCCTAGCCACTCTGGATTGTCAGAATGAATTGGGTTTGTCCCACCACTGCTCCTACCCCATATCGTTGGATCCCATTCTCCTCCCAGATGGGGTTCAGTGTAATCCTGTTGGTGTGATCCGCCCCTGTACCAGAATTTCTACCTGATCCCCAATCCTCTTCTTTCCCCACAATTCCCCAATCCCTGCCCTCACTGCTGCCTTCACAGTGGCCATGTTGTAAGCTCAGCTAGGACATGGGCAGGTGTCCATGTGCAAGAAGTGGTGGTGCACTGGAAAGCATTCACTTCTGCCAGCCCCTGGTTTATTGATCAGTCCAGAACGTGCCTCAAAAGGCAGGGATCAACATGGTGTGTGGAGGTGATGCTTGAGGGATGCAGAGGGATGCCAGCTCAGCGAAGGTAGGACAGTGCAAGCTTGGCCAGTTACAAGGAGCAGGGACAGAGAGTGGATACACTGGGACAGCTAAGGGGGAACAATGCTACTACCAGTATAGGAATGGAGAGGTAGTGGCTTCCCATCAGCTGCTACAGCCAATAACCAGACAATATTGCACTGGCCCAGGCAGCTTTCTGCTGCATCCACTCCTTCAAACTTCTGTCTAAACAGAACAACCCTCGGGCTGTAGCACCAAGGCAGCCGCCTATAAAAACTAAGCCACTTACTCCTTCATTGTGGATCCCACGCCTGTTATTGGGATGGCTCCTGCGACACAAAAAAAGCAAGATCTCAGCATGTTAAGATCAAGAGTATTTAAAGAGCCAGGGGACTGGGGGAGGTGGGGGGGGTGCACGTGTGCAAAACTGCACTTAAAAAAAATACACACACACACACATACATATACACACACACATATATATACATATACACACACATCTTCTAGCATAAAACTTTCCATCACACACCTTAAACCACACTAAGAAACCATGCACCCGTTACAATAAACGCACCCGTTCCCCTGCAACTCTGTATACCCATTCACTTCCCTAACCCAATTGCAGTCCCCGCACACATGTTAAATATACCCCGACACTGAGCACAGTGCTGGCAAGAGCCGTGGAGGCTGTTCTCCCCAAACCAAGTAGATGACGCACAGCGATAGCCCAGTGAGCCTCAGCCCTGCCCAGAGGGGGGAACCTCATGCTCCAGGAAACATTCAGTCCCTTACTTCCCTACTGGCTGTGCTAGCAGGAGTGACGGGCAGTGCTGTTCATGATGTAAAAGCCCATTTTGCTCCAAACGTTTCCACCATTTGTTTCCCAGGGGCTGCCAGGCAGCCAGCAAATGGCTGAAAATGCACTTAGTCACTGCTGAGCTGGACTCTTCAGAAGACAAAAGGCTTCATAGGCTGCTGCCAACCCCAAGCCAGCCAAGACAACTGCGTGTTGGCTCGTGCTGTCATTCTTGCTGGGGAGCTTGAGCCACCTTCATGCTTCTTCTGAATGCTGGCAGGGAGAGTTACTGGATGTGATCAGAACAACCAACTCCCAATTCTAAAAAGCTTGATAGAAATCAGAGTCTTTCCTTCGCTCCTCCCCTATTTCTATCGTTATCTGGATAGCCAAACTCAAGTTCCCAAACACGTTCACAGGAGAACCCAAAGCAGGAACATATTCAGGGATTTGTCTCAGAGTTCCCAGAGTAGATCTGTCAATGGGATGTGAACATATGGCAATAGCTGTTTGTTCCCTGGGTTTAAATCATGAACAATTCTGCAAGGGGAGGACAGACTATGAGTGTTTGGTTCCCAAAGTTTCCAACCAGTGGTCTCAGACTTACCAGGCCGGGCTCCAATCATGCTACGCCAGCACTGCTGGAAATCACTTGACATTTGACATCTTTCTTTTAAATGATTTTGGCCCAGGGGTGGTCTGGTGGCAGGTACTGACTTTGACAGTCCCTAGTTTCATAGTTTGTAGGGTTGGAAGGGACCTGAGCAGATCACCGAGTCCGACCCCCTGCCATGGCAGGAAAGAGTACTGGGGTCAAACAACCCCAGCAAGGTGTACATCCAGCCTCATCTTAAAGACCCCCAGGGTAGGAGCCAGCACCACTTTGCTTGGAAGTTGGTTCCAGCTCCTAGCCGCCCTGACAGTGAAGTAGCGCCTCCTGATATCTAGCTTAAATCTCCCCTCTGCCAGCTTGTGACTGTTATCCCTAGTCACTCCTGGCAGTGCTCTGGGGAACAGGGACTCCCCCAATGCCTGCTGATCCCCCCTGACTAGTTTGTAACAGGCCACTAGATTCCCCCTCAGCCTTCTCTTGTGGAGGCTGAACAGGTTCAGGGCCCGTAGCCTCTCCTCATAGGGCCTGCCCTGCTGCCCCCTGACCATGCGAGTGGCCTCCTCTGGGCCCTCTCCATGTTGTCCACATCCCTCCTGAAGTGCGGTGCCCAGAACTGAACATAGTACTCCAGCTGTGGCCTGACCCTGTTTGTTGGTGCCCAGCCTTTTCCAGAGCTGCCAAGTGGCTGTAATCCCAAAGCACTGGATGAAGCAATCACGTCCATAGGCATCTCAAACTGAGTGCTGAGAAGTCACCTTTTGGAGACTGGGACATAGTGTTTTCATTTTTTGAGAAATACAAACAGCCATCCGGTCCTATTATTTTCCCTTCCCCATTTGCTCCTGTAACAGTTTACTGTTAACTTCAGCACCAAAATCAAGTCCAGGGTCCCTGCCTACTCACCAGAACAGCCTCTGGGCAGAATTTTCAGGCACCAGCAGTTCAAAGTAGGGCAGGTTTTTGTACTTCTCAGTCCCCACAGCCACGTAGTAACCACCGTTCACCAGCTCCTCACCGCTGGACACTGCAACTCCATCCAGCCTGCAGAGCCTGCGGCGAGAAGGTGACAAGAAGTTTAGGAAGAGCATCAGTGGGACCGGTGAGCGGTATGTAGCAAAGGCAGCAAGTGCTCCTGGGAGGGGGCGGGGAAAGGGAGCAAGGAAACCAGAGGAAGAATGCAGAAAACGAGAGAGAATCCTGTCTAGACCTCAAGCGGTGCCCAGCTGGCTGGCAGCCCAGGCAGGGGTGGCACAGGAGTGCGGGCTCTGGACAAAAAAAAGGGATCAGTCTCCTCGGAGCTCAAGCACTGAGCCAGTTTAGGCAGTGGCAAGAGGCACGGTATCCTCTGGGAGCATGGGCTAAGTTTATCACAGGCTCCAAGTTGGTGGGGTTATGATGCCAGGGGTCAGTGTGGTATTTCAGAGTTGTTTCCAGGTGTCAGCAAACCTTTATCTTAATCTATCTACTCTGCAAACTCTTGTCCAACACAACCTGACCCCCCAGTATGAATAAAGCATAACAGAAAGGAAAAGGATTTGATCCTCGTTACCACGTGCTCACCACACACCCTAGCCCTCACACAGGCCCTTGGATGAGCTCCAGGACCACGGGGCAGATCAGGAGCAGAAACAGGTGAGAGCCCGGCATCGCGACTCTCAGCCCCCTGCTACATCTCCTCACCTAGGCCAAACAGCTGCATGGAAATTTGAGCTGACAGTGCCGTTTCTGGGGACTCACCTTCGGACAGCTCCACTGAGAAGGCTGGCTTTCTCCGTCAGCAGACCCAGGACGGCGTCCCACTCCAGCAGGGTGCTCTTGGAGAGGAGCAGGCGGAAAGGGGGGCTCAGCAAGTCCCCGTTCCGGAAAACACTTCAAAAGATCCAGATGCGTTTGCATGAGCCTGTGTTCCTACTCATGCTCGCAGCCCCGTGCGCACAACAATGACTCCCCGAGGGCCCCCAGCAGCTTAGTCTGTATGTCAGCAGTGCCAACAAGCAGCCGACGCTTGGCTTGTGCACGCTGGCACTGCAGGGCTGTCACCACCTTCGGTGTCGGAGCTCCTCGGGCCGCAAAGCAACCCCCTCCTCCAAGCCCCCTGAGGCTCTCTGCTCCCCACGGCCCCTTGAGAGACACTCACTGGATCACACAGGGCAGATGGGCAGGCTTCTGCCATCGCGCCGACACGGTCAGCTTCTGGGGAGCGACGGGGCGGACCTGGAGGCCAAGTTCACCACACAAACATGTCATGCACGCCTTGCAGGTCTCTGCCCTCCACCCTCCCAGCAGGGCCCCAACCAGGTGGCACCTCCCAACTTGGCTCAGGGTCCCCGTGCTGCTAGGTGAGGCTTGTTGTCAAACAGCCAGGCCTGGGAGTGGCTCCACGCAGGCATCAACACAATGGGCTGGCATGGCCGGACGCATCGTGGCGTTGCCAGGGACAAGGAGCCCTTGTGTACAGATCAGGCTCGCGGTGCTAACAAGGGAGAGGGACTGCACGTGAAACAGCACCGTCGCACGCATGACACCCCATCGACTACCGTCCTGCTGGGGCACGCGGCTGCCTTCAACCTGAGCATTCCTGTCCACTGCCACCCCCTTCCCCTGCTCCTGAATGACTCGGGCTCGCTGTCTTCCCCCAGCTTGGGTTAGGACGGGCTGCTCAGTGCCATTACTGTTTAAAGAGGGGGGAGCGAAGTGGAAAACAGACCGTCGAGGCCGTTTCTAACCACAGCCTGCTCCTGGTCCTGACAAACAGTGTCCTCACAGGCTGCGGATGCTTGGGAGAGATCAGCAGGAGAGCTCCTCTCCCCTCCCAGTGCTAGCTCCTGGGTATGTAGACTGTCACCTCCGCAGGCAGATCTCTCAGAGAATCACAGAAAATCAGAGAAAATGAGGGTTGGAAAGGACCTCAGGAGGTCACCTAGTCCAACCCCTGCTCCAAGCAGGGCCAGCCCCAATAGATCATCCCAGCCAAGGCTTTGTCTACCCCGGTCTTCCAAACCTCCAGGGATGGAGAGTCCACCACCTCTCTGGGTGACCTGTTCCAGACCTTTCTAGTGAGAAAGTTTCTCCTGATGTCCAACTTCAACTTCCTTTGCTGCAACTTGAGCCCATTGCTCCTTGTTCTGTCACCTGTCACCACTGAAAACAGTCCAGCTCCTTCCTCTTTGGATCTGCCCTTCAGACAGTTGAATGCTACTCTTGCCAGCACCCAGCTCTAGTCAGCCTTGTACAAAAACCAGCCCCCAGCAAAGAAGTTGCCCCATTGTCAGCTAAGCAGCAAGCATCCTAACCCCAGACCTCGCCTTCTGCTGGGGGATGAGGCCTAGCAGCAGCTGCTATTTCAAGACAACTGCACATGTGCACACCCCACCCTAAAAGGGACTCACCTGCATGCCATTTTTCTTCCTAGTCCCACTCAGCTGCTTCAATCCCCGATTTAAATAGCTGTAAAAATGGATGAGAAGATAATTAGCACACTCCCAGGCCGCGTTCCCTGGGGCACCATGGCATGGTGGGAAGGCCGTGACCCCAAGAGCTAGCACAACTAGAGTTTTAGCCCCTGGTTGGGTCTCTCAAGGTGAACAGGCCAATGGTAGGGGCCAAGCAAAAGTCAGGCAACTGGTCCCCCTGGATTGGGGGCTCAGCAGCGGCCAAACTACCCCTGTAAAAGAGAAAGGGACAGAACTTAAGCAATGCCCTATTCTTGCCCCAGACAACATTTGATCACCCGGGAAGGATCTGGATTCACACACAGGCACAGCCACACTGTCCCGTGTCCTCTGAGCAGCCAAAATCTGGCAAGAAAGCTTCCTTTATACAGAATAAGCTTTAAATCCCCTCACTCTGAGTGGTTTCAACAGCATGGACCAAACTGAAATTTGGACTGCTAGGCCTCCAGGGCACACTGCAGCTCCTGACTTGTTGAAAGTGGTCAGAAGAGACCCTGTACGCGGGGGGTTCACTACTTCGGTACTCAATAGCACCAAGGACAGGAACGCTGTTAACCAGTCTCATCACCCCTGCAAACATACCTGAGCCAATTCACTTGGAAGGCAACAGCAGCCTAGCTTTGCTCACATTTGGGCCCTTTAGGTGCCACGTGTTGCAGGCTTCCCACGTGGCTATCCGAAGTGTATTTTAGCTCCTTTTCGCCTTTCTACCTCATCCAGTCTCCAGAACATCAGCTGGGATAAGAACCATTACACTTAAAATTCCCAACCAACAGAGAGTTCCCGGTTCCCCGGGAGAAGGCATTTGCACCACGTCACATCCCCCTCACCAATTCCATGTTTCAGCCTTCGAGCCCAAGGCTCCAAGCATTTCCATTCATGATGCTCAACAGTTTCCTCAACAGAACTCAACGTGGGCTTATTGGGCCAAATTCACCCCTGATGAAATGCCACGGATGAGTTATGACAGGAAGGACCCCAGCCCAGCATGTTTTTAGTTCCTGTTTGAATGTCTCGGGGCCATATGAAATTTAAGGGACCCAGCAGAACGGGGACAACTCATCAGAGGGGGGCACAGGTAAGAAAAGCCGTGCTGGAAATTGGTAGCACAAAGCCCTGACTGTCCCCGAGCTCTGCACAACAGAGATGCTGCACAGATCACTACAACCTGGTGAAGAACGTGTTTTTTCAGTTGATTATTTTCAGCTCATTCTTACGATCATTTCAGCTGAAAAAAAGAGAAATTCCCCTTACCAAATGAAAAACGACTCCCATGTACGTGTCAGCCCTCAGCTAGCGCATCTGCAAATATTTACAGCAGAACCCAACAAGTAAAGGAATGGCAAACAGCCAGACCTTGCCTTTCCCAGCTGCAGGACTCCACTGACAGGCTTTTTAAAACCCAGAGTATTAAAAACATGACTGCTGGCTCCCCTGTGTAATTTAGAACAGGTGGCCTGAAATGAGCAGGTAGAGCAGAAAGTGGACATGCAAGCTATTGGCACAGAAAGCAAGCAGCATTAGGAAATTTCAACACACTCATGGCTGCAGCTAAATGCCCTTTGACAGAGGACAGGGAATGAACTGGGCACACAAGGGGGTTGTGCGGGTGTCAGCAGGACCCTGGGAACCTGGCTGTGCATCCGCACAGACCGAGAACGGTCACGTTCCTTGGCCAGCAGTCCTGTAAAGGAAACCCAAGTTTGTGCCCCTCAGTTCAACACCACCAGCCACCTTTCAAAGTGTTGCCTGCTTGCAAGTGCGGTGACCCCCTTCCTTCTTGCCCCCTCCCAAGGGATCCCCCTTATTCCACCTGGAGACCAAAGCAACTCACTCAAGCCTCTTGAACCTCTCGAAGCCAGCTGCCACGTACTGGCACCCGTTCTGCAGCTCCCCCAGCTCCGTGACCCGGTGGCCCTGCCTGGGGGTGTAGATATTCCTCACTGCCATGGGCGCGTGGATGGTGCTGGTGACCTCATTCAGAAATGCTTCAAAGGTGAGGAACTGGCGCTGGTTGACCACCAACTTTCTGCCCTGGAAGAAGGGGTCCCCATTGCGATACACCACCACATTCTTGGCATGAGGCGCCACAGCTAATCTGGTGGAGCTCATTCCCTGTGGACCACCCACAATCCACGGATCATAAAGCAGCAGGGTGACCTGCACCGGGCAAAGCACAGAGGAGGAAAACCCCTGGAGTCCTGTGCAAAACACAAGCGCTTGCTGCCTGGCTGCCTTCGTGCTCCCGTCCCTTCTCAGAGCTGCTTTCTGAAAGTGTCTCTGGCTGTTTCCATGGCTGCAGGCCCAGCCAGAGCAGAGTGTTTTGTGGGCTGGCCTGGCCGTGTCACTCAAACCGGGAACAGGAACTGCACAAATACCCCTCTCTTGACTATGCACAACCAGAGCAGAAAGCTCCTTCACAGCTTGAAAAACCTCCAAACTGCAGGGAACCGGCTTGCCCAGGAGAGCAGTTACAGCCATCCACCTCAGGCAGGGATTTCAATCCCATCCACAGTGGGAGTGTATGAAAAACTCACCACCCATTTCTGATCACTCTATGGTCTGTGTGACAGGTGGCAGGTCTCAATCCACTGCCCCATTGGCAAGTGTCTCACCAGCCACATTTCATTACACGGGCTCAAAACAGGGTCCCAGGAAGGACAGGCCAGTGGTTAGGCCACTGTAGCCTTTGCTACAAAGCACCCAGGCTCAGTTCCACCTGCCACAGACTTCCTAGGTGGCCTCAGGCAAGTCACTTGGGTTCCCTGCATCTCCTTTTCCCATATTTAAAGGGGAATAAGGCTTCCCTGCTTCCCAGGGGCATTGCGAGAAGTGCACTAAAATCACGGCAAGGTGACTAGGTATATGATGCTAACAGAGGTCTGAGCAGTGCCGTTGAGAGGAGAGGCCCAGGAGTCTGCATTGTCCTTGGTCACTTGCACTAGTTAAGGGGATCAGACAGAGGAGCTCAAGCTCATGTCTTTCAGCAGCATCCAAAGAATGCAGAAAGAAACAAAAGCTTTACTTGCATCCATGGCTGAAGATGTCTGCATCCCACACCTCGGAGCAGAGACTCAGGACGCCAGCCTGTTTCCAAACATCCCCGAAACAACCCCATTCCCCTCCCTCTGCCACTCTTCCCCCTGCAAAAGGAGCAAAGCAGTGACAATTTCTGCCTGTGGCATCAGGGCATTTAAACTCCCTCCCCCTGCTCCACTGCCAAATCTTGACCCTGCTAAAGTCGGAGTCCCATAGACCTCAGCAGGCCAGAATCGGACCCAGAGACTTTCAAAGATTCAGATGGGCCAGGTGATGCAATGCTGAAATGGGTCTGTATTGACATGGGACAGCCTGTACTGAATAGATTTGCTTCTAATAAAGAGGCTGGAGTGTGTGCGCTACTGAAAGAAAGGAGAGCGAGACCTCAGCGTGGTGCCCAAGCTCCAGCTTGGTTCCATGGCAGCCTGTCAGCACGAGAAGGGGTGATCAGGAGGACACATTCAAGGCAGCATCCAAAAGGTTTATCTATTCACTCTGCAGATTGCTTAGAGCCTACAGACATTTCCTGCAATACATCCATTGCCACCTGCCCAGCGTGATGGGCTACAACCTTGGTTAGGCTCCAAGGTGGAAGGTCTGTGTGAGGAGCCAGGCTACCACTGATCAGAGGCAAATGTGGAGACAAAACACTGGAAAAAGAGCACTTTATTCAGGAACAGACTTGGGAAATAAGTGAACATATCCAGGGACTGGCAGAGGATGAGGTCATACATGAAACATGCATCTGGTTGCATGACTGCACATGGAAGGAAGATGCAGAGAACCAAATGCTAAGGGCCTGCAGTATGAAGTGGAGCAGCACAGAGAAAAATCCCCTTTCTGCCACACGAGGGATCCAGTGGATCATAGCAGAGGCAGCCAAGCCTACCGGGGAAAGCATCCACACAGACAGTGTGGTCTGCACACACAGTGCCAACCCTCCAGGCCTTGCTCAGCCAGTGGAAGTTCAGCCTGAGGGACAGATGCTGAGTTGAGCCACGGAGACCACCACAAAGCTCTGGGGTCTTTGGATCTTGGGAACAGAGCCCTGATCAATGGGAGCCTGAACCTTCCCAAAGTGTGCAGCTCAGCCAGCTAACACAACAGGGGCTTAGAGCCAAAGTACCCCACTGCCTCCCTGTAGCTCAGCGTGACCTCAAACCAGTGGCCAAGCATTTAGAGAGCGGGACCTTTAAAACCCCATCACAGCATCCCTGCCTTGGATTCACCCCAGAGGCTCAGGTTGTGCCAGCAGAAACAGGCTTCCTCCAGGCTGAGCACTAGCTCCTGCAGAGTTCAGCTCTCACAGCAAAGGCACCGGTTTAAAAGAAGAGTCTTCGTTGTCACGTTCCTCATAACCAAAGCCAATCCCAAGATCACCGTGCCAGGCAGCCCCGTTGCACTGAAGCAAGTGCTCTCCCGGGTGGTTGGACTTCCTGCAGATTAGCCAAAAGTTACTCTGCTCCCGCAAACAGGACACGGTCCAGCTGGCCCCAGAGAACATCCTTCCCCCAATGGGACACAACCATGGTGTGCAGCCCACTGGGATGACCGCTTATCTCTCGGGAGCCCCCAGCCTTTGTTTCAGAATCAAGTACTACAAGACAAAAAAGCGGGGGGGGGGGAAAAAATCACCTACTATTGTTTTAGGCTGGCAGCATTTGAACAAGGAAAGCGTTTGTCCCTGCAGACTCCTCAGAGCCCTGTGGAGTTGTCACATGTGATGGGAAACACTGTGATGTTATGGTCTTTAGAAGGATGCAACTGAGGCTTCAACTGCTAGATCTAGGTACCTCCCTCCCTCTAACTGGCTCCCAGAAACAGCCTGGACAGTTCAGATTCCTGCATCCAACTCACTGCTCTGCTACTACCTGACCATGTGACCGTGGCATGTCACTGTACCTTAACACTGAATCCAATTTGTGAGGCCCTTTAAAGACGGGGGATAGAAGGCACAATCTACACATTATTTAATCATCATGCCTTTATCACCCGATTACTGCTTATTCATATGCATACTTGCAGGCACAATGCAATGTAGCATGTTCTTCACAAACCTTCTATGACAAAAGGTATCCAGAAAAATTATGTGAACAGGCTGCCCAATAAGTACTGCATCAAAACAACAGTGACGTCTTTTGAACAGCCCTACATCTCACCACAGCCAGCTCTCCATTTAATTTAACTGAGGCTCAGATGTGCAAAGCATCATCACCTCCAGGAGAGCAGAGCAAATGTGCCACCATCATCTGATCCAACTCTTAGAGGGGTACACTTTCAGCCTAGAAATCTAAACTCCATGGGAGCAATTAACTCTGCATTACAGATCCAGGTACAAGGCAGCTCCATCCAGCATTTTGGGTGTGTGCATATGTGCACACCCACCCACACAATCAGAAGAAAGATGAGGCTCTTACATTCTTACGGCTTGCAATAGCTTGCTGCAGCCACAGCATCTCCATGGCCAAATGCTTTCGGTAGCACTGGAGCTCAGGTAGCGTCTCAGGCAGCTCTTTCTCCATGCTTCCGAATGAAAGCTCTGCACAGAAACGGAAGCAGGAGCAATTATAGCCACCAACAGCACCTTCCATGTTCCCATCACACCTTGACCCATCCTTGGAGCCAGATTTGGGTGCAAAAGCCTCTCCGCCCAGATCCCACCCCCAATCCCAGGGGAGCCAACTGTTCTGCTACAGCACACAGTAACCTGGCTGGCCACAGTGGTGACCTTCTCACTGCTGTTCGTAGCTGTCAACACCTTCTCGCAGCGAGAAGAGTCTGATCACATCCTCCAACTTATCCCCCCCCCACCTCCTTCCCCAACCTCCATTTCTAGGCATCTCTGTACCAACCCCGCTTGAACCCATCACTTCTACCGAATGACGGTTCTGGTCTGTGCTAGTTTAGATTCTCAACCTGTCCTTCTCGCTTCATCGTTGAAGAAAACATGCCATTAACCAAAGCAGATATGCACAAATCTAGTGCAAACCAATTAGGAACGTTAAATTCTTGTGCAGCTCTCAAGGATGCAATATGCAATCACTGTCCTTAAACTGCAGTAAAACCAAGGAGAAGTTAGTCAACTCCCCCACGTGGCTTCTGCTGGCAAAGTGGGACAGATGCATCTGTTTCCTTAACTTTCTGGCAATGTGAGAAATTGTTTGCTTTCTAGCCTCTCACAGAGGAAAACAGCAACCATTTTCTTTAACAGCCTGCATTACAACTCCAAAGACTTACACAGCTCTTGTTCTTAACTTTGCTCTCCCCCAAAAAAGAGACAGTGAATTTCAAGGACAGGTACCTGTCTGGAACAGACTTTCTAGTTTGTTTGTGCTCAAAGACCTTGCAAAAAAATCCTCTATCATGATCTTGACCTTCAGCTTCTGAAAACAGTGGAACCCCCACAACCACCACCACTGTCCCAATGGAAAAGATGGCAGGAAATTTATACGGACAAAGGTTCAGCTATTAAAGCACTTTTTCCCTTGCAAAAGAGACTCACTGGAGGCCAGAACCTGTGTGTTGGAGAGAGGTGGGTCGGGGTTCTAGGAGAGAGACGTGGAGCCATATGATCCATGCAGAGGCTCTGAGCAGGGGTCCGGAGCTGCAGTGCACTTTGCTCTTATCCACACACACAGTTCAATCACTCAGAGCAGCACCCACTGCTGCTAGCAGCCATCAGCAATGGCTAACTTCCTACTATAGACAACATTACTGGGAAAATAGACATCATTTCTGCTGAAAACCCAAGAAAGAGACTCCAAATGGAGTCAGCTGTAGCCAGTTCTAGACTCAGGTGTTTTTCTGAGGCCTTTTGTCTCCCCAGGAACCTGCTTCAGAAGTACAAGTGTTCTGCTGCGCTACTCAGCTAGGCCGGGAGGATTCGGAGTGCCTGGCTGTGCACTCTGCACATTGATTCTGGTTTCTTACCCTGGCTGGCTCCAGCGGACCCAGTCTCCAGAATGGTGCTGCTCCATACAGAAGACACGTTGCTACAGTTCTTCCATTCGCTGCTCTCCCCTGGCAGGCAGCAGTCCAATCCGGTGGGTGTCTCTGCCTCAGGCTGTGGATTCAGCCTCACTCCACCAGCATCGCTCCCCAAGGGCACCTCCTCACCATGCAGCTGGCCTGCAGGGTTTGCGATGCCCTGAGAGTCACAGTCCTTCTCTGGTTCCAAAGTCTCCAAAGGATAAAGCTTCTGCTGCTCTTTATCGCTGGCACTCTGGTCTTTGGATACAGCCTCTTGGCCAATCAATCGCTTTGCTTTCACCTGCTTCTGGAGAAACAGGTTTGAGAAGTGAAACAGTCGTAGAGGGAAGCAACTAGCAGAAATGCCCAGCAAGATCAGGCTCTTCCCGACGCAATGCTTCCTGCAGCCAGGGATCTCCACCAACATGGTCAGTGGACAGAGGTAGCTAGGTCAGGCAGAAACTAGAGTTGCACCTAAGCTTTCATGAGCAATAGCTGACTTTGTCTTGTAACTGCAGAACTCAACCGTGTCCATACTAGGATTGTAAATGGCTATTTACAATCTATTTAGGGAATAAATAATTGTGTGCGTTTAAGCTATGCTTTGGGTTTTTTTGTCTTTTATAGAGCGTGTTAAAAAGCCACCAGGTACGTGTACTACAAGCCAACAAGCCTCCAAAAGCCCCTCTTGGCACAGCAGGGATTTCCTGCCCAGAGGCAAGAGCTGCAAGTCCCTAGCACCCTCTATAGTCAAACCTGTGGTTAGCACACGGTCAGATGCCACGTACAGTAGGCATTCGCCTCGTGCTCAGCAGCCCCTACCTCCTGAAGAAACACGGGCCTGGGTAGGAGGCCGCCTTTCCACCGCAACCGATCCAAACCCCCTTCGATCTCCATGACAGCGCTCTCATATTCCTCCCGCAAGCTTCGAAACCTCTTCCTCACCAGGTAACCTCGGACGTGAGCCTAGAGAAAAGAGACAGAGCTCCCCAAGTTCCCACCGCGCTACAGGCAGAGGCAGAGCTGAGCCTCCCTGTCCAACGGCCTCTGATTAAAAATCCCATTACGCAGAAGGAAACTTAGTTCCCTTCTCTCTTCCTTGCTGAACGTAACACGGACGTGATCACTAGTAAAACCCAGTCCTCGATACTGCTGGGGGTGGTGCTGCTATTCAAGCCCCCAGTTCCCATGGTGGCTGCACCCCGGCCCAAATGACCTGCAATCGGGCACTTTTTAGTATTATTACTGATTAGAAAAATTTTCAAAACGTCAAGTAAACGCGACCCTCTTTTGCGCCCCCCCAATAATCTCAAGGCCGATGTCCTGCTGCGCACCCTGCAGGCCCCAGAGCAAACCAGGTGCCCAACAGGTTGTTCCACATCCTCCTCTCAAGCTTCCCCCCAAAAACTGTCCTCTCTAGTGGGCCCAGCCTTGCCACAGGCCAAAGCCAGCACCGCTCGCGCTGGGTCCCTCACAGCCCAGCCAGGCCACTGTAAGTTATAACAAAACAAAAGCAAGCTCCTAATTAGTCTTCTTTATTATCGAAAGGATTGTTCAGACCATCCGGGTCAGCCATCACAGCAAAGTCACGACAGTCATCAGCAAACAGTGGGCGCTTGGCCTCTGACGCGGCTCGCAGGGCCGTGACCTCCAGCCCGGGGGCTCCCCGGCGGGTGGGAAATTTGGCAGTGGGGGGGGATCAACCCCCACCCCTGCACAGCCAGACCCGGGGCCCCCACGGGCCGGGTCACACAGCACCGAGATGCGGCTAACGAGCTGTTATTGCACCATAACAGAAGGGTGAGACATCGTTTTGTAGATCATTGTCATCGCATATGACATCATATCGGATTCTAGGACGTCAGAGCATGTGACGTCACGACAGGGACCCCGACTACCAGGTACTGATGTTGGGGGGGGGTTACAATAGACACGTGTCAGTGACGTCAAGTCCCCCCCATCCCTCCCTTTGACCCCGTGACGTCCGCGCGCTGCTACCCGTGTGAACGCTCCACTCCGGATTAGCCCCGGCCCGGCCCCACCTGCAGCGCCGCCACCGCCCCGCGCAGCCGCTCCGGCTCCTGCCCCATCGCTGCTGCCCCGGCAACCAGGCGCGGGCTGATGGCGTCATCACAGAGCGACACGCTGCGCCGGGGGGCGGGGCAAGAAGGCCGCCCGCAGTGCGGC